CCATCATTTTTATTGGTATGTTGAAGCTGTTCAATTTGCTTCAGGGCTTCAAGTCCGACTTGTGTTTAACTTGATATTTACTTAGGAGTGATAATTTGAGGAAAAACTTATTCCTTTGCTTTTCCCATTTACCTTTTTCTTCGTTTACCTGTTTCTTTTTTTCATCCTTTTATGTCCATGTATTGATAAACGTTATTTTAACTTGATTAACAGCCGGGTTTAACATTTAAAGGTGTCATTGGTTTACCTTGTAATCTCAATCTTTGGTGGAGAGCAACATTAGCATGGTCATTAAGATGAGTGATCAATTGACCTTGCAGCTTTTACCTACCTTTACATCTTTACCTGTTAATCTGTTTATCATTTGTTTCTCTTTTTGCTCATCTAAAAAAAGATTCACATCAATTTTGGTCACTTTGTGTGACCATTTATTGCGGATAGACAAATGTTTTGCTGTTGAACCATTTCCACTATACATGATGCTATAGCAATGCTTGAGCATTTGTAGTGTCACTTGTGACGATTGATGAGCCTGAAAAAGGTTGACATTTTATTGGGCATTTTTAATGGATTGCCAAAACTACAATTTCAACACAAGAATTGGATGAAGCAGGAATTGACTGAGCAAAAATAAGACTTTTCCTGAGCTTTGGAATTGAAGAAACATTAGCTATTATGGTTTAACAATTTTTCAGCAATGAACTACATGAGTTTCTCATCTCTTTGGCCGAAAGTATTGAGAAAATTCATTTTCATTTTTAATCACAAATTGAGTGGATTTATAAGTGTTTTGAGTAAAATTCAGATTGATGTGCATCTGGACAGAATTTAAAAATGAAGATTTCTTTACATTTCATACATAAACAGTTCGAAATAGTCCTTAAGCTTAAGTTTCCCCGAACTGGATAATGAACATTTCATAATTGGAACGAGATGCAATATTAAGGGCAAGTTAATCTTCGGAAAATTTGATTACCGAGTCATATTTTCTTCAATATTTGATTAGCACTAAGTTTGATCTCTTTGTGCAGAAATCGAAACAAACGACATTTTTCTCGAGTATTGAATCGAGAAATATTCAAAGTCTTGAAGCTATCAAAGGTTGCAATGTTAATCGATTTGAATTCAACTTTGCAAGTAATTGCGAATGAAATAAACTGAATCAAAAATGCAACCTAAATTAAAGTTTTATCAGTCAATTATCACAACAATAATGCAAAATAACCAGATGAAGTAAACTTCATGAAGCTGGTAAACCAGATTTATGTGTGACTTCAACTTGTGTGTGTGTGTTGTATATGTGTACAATTAGCA